GGGCGAGGAGAGGATGGGGAGAGGGCTGGCGGAGCGCGGGGCTGCGGGGGGCAGGGCGCAAGGTGTCTGGGACCAGCGAGCCAGGTCTTGACATCCAGCGCTGGTGGCGGGGCTGCGTGGGATGCAGGCTGCCCGGTCATTACCTCCCTTCGTGGCCCCTCCCTCCCCTTCCCACTGAGGTGTTCATTTCCGACATAGGCGTCAGTTTCAGGTACATTTTATGGCCCAAATCACAGAAACACTATCCCGCCATCTGCTCATGGGTTTCAGTGGGGCGACCTTCGCAGTGCAGGGTGAGCCCAGAGGAAAGTCGGGCTCCCAAGCCCGGCCTGGCCTCGGTGGCTTGAGTGATGCCCACCTGCGGACCCTCCCATGCCCAGCCTCTGGGCTCCAACTTCAGCCGCTTCTGGAGCCAGGGCAGGTGCCCTCAGCGTGGGCAGAGCCTATGGAGGGGGGAGGAGGGGAGTGTGTCTCACGTCACACTCAGCTTTTCCCCACACAGGGCAGCCTCCATCCTGCTAGAGCCCCCTAGAGGGGATGTGGCTGTGCCTGGGGTCCCCCGAGTGTGTCCTCCGCGGCCCAGGGCCCTCACCACTGAACCGGACAGAGAGGAGATATGTTTCCCTGAAGGAAGGGAGCTCGCGGAGGAGCCTTTGGAACTCCCCCTTCAGACCAGATGTCCCATCTCCCTCCCTGCTTCCTGAGAGAGGGGGCTTGGCCGGCAGGGAGGCAGAGGCTGTGACACCTTCACTCTGTCCTTGCCCCTCCTCCTGCAAAACCTCCTGCGAGTGACCATCGTCAGGGATCTGGTCTGTAGTCAGTTTCTAGCAGAAGGCAAATCATGGGATGCAGGCTCCGGGCCTTGGAGGGCTCTTTGCTGGCCATCAGAAAAGCACGCCAGCCACCTGGCCCCTGCACTGCTGAGGTGGACACAGTGGGGAGCAGAAGGCGGAGGACAGGACCCCAGGCTATGAAGCCTGCAGAAGTGGCAGCGAGCCATAGTCTCCCAGCCCCCTTTGGCCTGGGGGAAGCTGTGCCCGTCCTCTGCTGTTGCCACTGGGGTGATAACGGGAGAAACAGGCCACGTGCAGGGCAGGGCACTGGTACCCAGCAGCCATGCACAGCCAGGGCTGCCCCATTTTGTGGCTGTTTCCATGGCAGTTATAAAATGGTGCCTGGAAAGGACAGGGTGTGTGCCCCCCTCCCCGGCCCAGGGAGGGGGAGCTGAGGCAGCTGCGGCCCCCCTCTCAGGTTTAGGCCCACCAGGGGAGAGGCTGGGCCAGGAAAGAGGGTGGTGCAGCTCCAGCTGTGCCCCCAGGCCAGGCAGGGGGGTGGTGAGCAGCAGGATTGGGTTCCTGAGCCCTCTCACTTCCCCGTCCAGGAGAGGGGGTGGGGTGGACATTTGAAAATGCTTTCAATTGACATCTGAGACAAATTCTTCCACGCGGTTTATAAGTCCCTAGACTTGCAGCTAGAACTTCCCTCCTGCCTCCAGGCACGCACACATGCACGCATGCGCACTCCACCTCGCACGCCACCACATGCGCTGGTGCATCCACAGGGTCACACACTCCCATCCCGGCCCACTGCAGCCTTCCCCCGCCTCTCCTCCAGCAAGAGGGGGCACAGACCTGGCTGGGCTGGGGAGTGGAGTGGAAGCCTGCACCTCAGGGCCTGACCTGGGCTTGCTGTAGGGTCTGGCAGCGTATGGAAGCCTTGCCCTGTCCAGGTAAGCAGGTACCCCTGTTGACAAACTGGGGGACTCCAATAATCTGAGGTGCCCAGGACAGCTTCTCTTGAGGGCCCCTGACTATCTCTCAGCTTAGTGAGAGGCAGAGGACCACCCGATGGCTTTCCTGGAGTGGGCGGGTCGGGTTCAGGGGACTTGGCCCTTTGTGTCTTCATTTCGGTTTGGGTCCTGCCTCTCTCAGGGGACACTTTTGTGAGAGGCCATCTAGGAGGGATGGGGTGTCTGAGGACAACTGTCTGCTCCTCTGGGAAAGGTCAGTGTCAGGGACCTGGTGACCGGGGAGGGAGGTGTGCCCTGCAGGTATGTGTGCATGCTGTTGTATGTGTCTATGTGCTGAGGGGCCTGGGGAAGCTCTTCTCTAGAATGTTCTCTGAGCCTCAGGGTCCTGGAAAGCCCCAGCATGGGCTGCAGGGACTGGACAACTTCTTTTGATGAATCTATTTTCTTAGAGGTAGGTCATCCCACAGGTTTGTGGAGAGAGCAGCTCAGTGGGGTCCATGGTAATTGTGGTGCATGGATTCATTTACTCCACACAGCAACCTATGAGATATGTAGTAATATCCGCATCTTAGAGATAAGGAAGCCAAGGCACAGAGAGAGCCGAGCGAGCTGTCCAAGGCCTCCCACTTGTGGTGGTGGGGGTGGGGGTGGGGAGCAGGCTGTGAATCACGCAGAGTGGCTCTGGAATCCATGCTCTTCTCCCGCGGATCCTGGGCCGACCTCCCAGGCACCCAGTTCATTGGGCAGGCCCAGTCCAAGCATTTATCTCTGCTTAACACCGAAGGACTCCAAAGGCCTAGCAGAATCTCTGGCTCTCCTGCAAGTTGGTTTGAGGCCTGAGGGTTTCCACAGAGACATGAGCAGGGAGCCATCTCATTGGTTAACGAAGCAGCTGACAGACTCCCAGGTCTGCTGCTCTCGCTCCCTGTAACGGCAGCCCAGAATTTTAGCTGTCCATGGACTGGTGAAGGACAGGAGGGAAATTAAGGCAGGCAGGTTGGTGTCGAAATCCTCTCTCAGGATCCTCTCTCAGAGCCTCTATGCTTTACCTGCTCACAGCCACTAGGCTAGAGGTGGGGGTTCAGTTTGGGAAACCATGTAAATAAACCCTCCTTCTAGACACACAGACTGACAGCTGCAGGGGCTCAGAGGGAGTGGCTAGTGCATCCCTCTCCTTGTGTAGGGGGAGGCTGAGGCCAGAGAGGGAAGTGACGTACACAGGGTCCCACCGCTCTGACCGATGCCAAGACCTCTTGCTATAGGGGCAGTGCCCCTTAAGGCCTTCTGCCCCCTTGCTCACTCTGTGCCCTCTCTCCTGGTGCTCTGACCACGCCTCTGCCTCACCCTTTGGCTTCTCCCAGGAGGATGTTCCCCAGCTACAAGGTAAAGGTCACGGGCATGAACCCCAAGACCAAGTATATCCTGCTGATTGACATCGTCCCTGCAGATGACCACCGCTACAAGTTCTGTGACAACAAATGGTAAGAACTGGGACCCTCACATCACCTGCCTTCCCTCCACTGCTCTTTCCATTCATCACATCCATCGCCACCTGATGTTTGCTCCAGGGACTCACCAGTTAGTCTGAATGACTGCCCAGATCTGCAGCCTGAGGAGCGGGGTCTGCAGAGGCTGCAGGGTAGGCAGGTGTCTGAACACCTGCTGCAGGCCGGGCTGGGGCTGGGGCTGAACATGAGCTGCAGTGTTTGGTGGATTTCAGGGTCTGTGCTCTCCCCACAGCTGTGGACAAACAGGATTGCTGACTATGCTGTGGGGTGACAGGTGAACACCCACCAGGGTTGATTTAGGCCCTGGCATTGCTGCGTGGGGAGGAGGATGGGAGCCGTTTTCCGGTGGGGTCCAGCTGCCTGCTCTGTGGCATCTCTCCTGTTTCTCCACTCACTTCCTCTTTGCCTGGCTACATTGTGTGTCCCCCACCCAGAGTCAGTGGGGCCGGTGGTTGGATGATGGGACCCTTTCGCAAGGGGCTGGACTGAAGGGCAAAACCAGGCTGGGGCCGGGTAAACACTGGGCTCCATTTCCTGAGGCCACCTCCTTAGTGCCCGGTCTGCCCCCAGCGCCCAGGACAGCACTCAAGGAGAGTGAGGGAGAGAGCGAGGGATTGAATGAATCAGCGGCCTGGGATGTGGGCTCCCTGGTGGGTGGTTTGTGGGGCCGGCAGAGGCTGAGTGGATTGGGTGGCCAGTCCTGCCCAGGGGTATGCTTCTACTTCTCTCTCTGGGCTGTATTAGCACTCAGAGCTGGCTCTGGCTGAGGGGACCAAGACCAATTAATTTCTTTGGGGCAAGCATTGTTTTGTGGTCAAGAAATCTGAAAGTTGTCTGGGTCCTCTGAGAAGCTCCCTCCAAATAATGTAACTTATAACATTTTAAAATGGTCTGTATAACACAGAGAAGTGCTGCCTAAATTGCCCTATAATACATTTGTGCTTCGCCCCATTCCTTCTAGTAAACAATGACATTGCTCTGTAATGTCCCTTTCTCGTTCACGCTCTCTTCTGTGCTTCACTGCTACCCCCAAAGTCCTAAATTGTCAGTGTGATGGGACCAGCATCGATTTTCCCCTTCAGGTCTGTGAGGATTTGCTCTCAGAGAGGGGACAGGGTCTCTGGACTTCCCAGACCCCAGGGTAATCCCCTGCTGTGGCCGGTTGCTCTGTTGGCAGGATGGTGGCAGGGAAGGCTGAGCCCGCCATGCCAGGAAGGCTCTATGTCCACCCGGATTCTCCGGCTACTGGGGCCCACTGGATGCGACAGCTGGTCTCCTTCCAGAAGCTGAAGCTGACAAACAACCACTTGGACCCCTTCGGCCACGTAAGAAGGGACTCCTGGCCCTGAGGGCGAGTCCTGGGCTGGCTGCAGATGGATGGGTGGGTGGGGACTGGGAGAATCCAGCTCCAGGCTTTGGCACTTGTTGGGCCAGCTTATGGCAGGAGCCAAGGTCCCAGTCCCACAGTTGCACATCCTTCCCTAGTGCTTACTGGCTGGGTGACTTTGGGCGAGTTTTTTAGCCTTTTGGAGCCTTAGTTTCCTTGTCTAGAAAGGGAAGATGACCATGCACATTTTGCATGGGCGTGAGAATTAAACAAGGGAATATGCATGAAGCACCTTACACCAAGGAGGCTCTAACTAAAAGGCAGCTGTGACGACAATGATGGGTCTGATCGCCCAGCTTCGGTTTCCCCGGATTTGGCCTTGCTGGAGCATAAAACAGTCCACTTCCTTGAGAAAGAGTCAGGATGAGTCCAAGCCTTCTTTGGCGTGTCTGTCTGCTTGGCCTGGCAGCTGCCTGCCCTCTGGAAGGGGAGGCCTTGCTTTGGCTCCTGTCCACTCCTTCCTGGCCCTGCCTGGGACCTGGCTCTCGAAAGAGATTCTGAAGCCCTACGGATGCTGCTGTTGACGCCCCATCCAGGCTGCTAAAGCTTATTCTTTCGCCATCTGGCCCTGGCAGGCCCACAAAAAGCTTTTTATGTGGAAATTTTTAGCTCAAGTGCGTGGGGCAAACTAAAGTCTGGGGACCTGGTATTATGTGCCAGGGCACAGGCCCTACCCCTCTAGGCTACCCACGGTTACCCTGGGAGTGCAGGGTGGGGTGGGGTGATGCGGGTGCATGGAGGCTCCTAGATGCAGTTACTGGGCTGCCCACCTAGCGCTCAGGTGTGCAGGGTGGTGGGGGAAGCAGCGGTGGGGTGTGCAGGCAGGTACGTGCCTCTTTCATGCCTCAGTTCTATTTCTGGAGTCTGCGTGCAAATCAGAATTCTGTGAATCATAGTTCCCCGTGGAAAATGCCAACATTGCTGTGTTTCTGATTGACCGGTATGTAACTAGCAAGCAGCTCTTAGCTCTGATTTTCTTAGAGTCTCTTCCATTCCTTTCTGAGTTGGTGATCCATAACAGGCAACTAGGAGAATGCTTAATTAACGTAATTGACTCCCAACTTATCTGTTTTGCAAGCAGCCCCATGCAGGGCCAGTAGGTGCTGTTGGGTGCATGGCAGAAACGTGCAGTGTGCACAGTGGCCTGTGCTCATACAGCCCCAACCTGTCGTGGCGGCAGAGACAAGCCAGCGATCCAATGGGAAAGGTCAGCCAAGCCCCCTCCCCCCCTCACAGGGCACAGGGCCTTGCAACTGAGGGGAGAGGGGCCTTCCAGGTCTTCCTGAGCACCGTCCTGGCCAAGACTTTGTTCCCAGGCAGCTCCTCCCAGCCTCCTCTGCTTGGCCAGGCTGTGGCACCAACTTCAGAAGGTTAGTGAGGGCTTCTGCGTGGGAGACGGAACCTAGCCGACATGCACATCCCTGCCCACAAGTGCACACACTGCAGACCCCAGGGGACAGACCCCTGGGGTTCGCACAGAGCTTGGCAGGAGCTGAATCTTTGGGTGAGTGGCCAGGGGACCCAGGGATCAAAGCTCTGGTGAGAATTTTGGATGCACAGCTTGCCATGATGGTTCCCAGCTATAGGGAAGCCTGAGAGGACTCTCCCACCTGCCCGACAACTCTGCAGAAAACGGCAGGGGAGAGAGTCAGGTGGCCAAAAAGATGGGCTTTTTAAGAGTGGGAGACAGGCGTAGCCTTGCAAGCCCAGTAGTAGGTTTTCCCAGCCTGACGTGCCTCTTTGGTGGCTCTGAGGCCCCTAGGGGCTTGCACTAACCCTGCATATAGTCTTGTGTCTGGGCCAGTGGGGCTGCTTGATGGGCTAGTGATGGGGGTGCCCCTGGCTACACTTTCCATGCCTGCCCCTTGGTGTTAGGGATGGTCCTCACACTAACTCGGCTTTCTCTCCAGAGGGTTGGGATGCAGCACATCTTCCTTCTCCCCCATCCCCTACCCAGCACGTGCAGTGTATTGGTTATGACACCCCCTGTGGGGGAGCGGGGCTCAGGAGATGCAGTGATTGTCTCAGGGGCTGGGAGCAGTGCTGGACCCTGCTTTCTGATTTCAGTTCAGCTCTCTCGGCTTCTCCAACCGTCTTTCTGTACCCAAGGCTGTCACATCTGCAGCTATTTGGAGCACCACTGGGGAGGGAGCAGGCTTTGGCTGTGCAGGAGAGGCGGTGGAGGACGGGTTAACTTCCTAGACATATCAGGGCCTGGACCTGGGCTCTCTGTTCCTTGGCCTGTGTCCATGGTAGTGATGAACTCTCCAAGTCACCCTTCTTGGCTTCTCAGTGCAGGAACCTGGGAAAGTGCCATCTCATACTGTGAACTTGCCCCAAACAAGTCCTTCCTTCTGCCTAACTCATCTCCAAATGTTCAGTTATTCCCAGGAGCTTCCAAACCTCAAGTACCGGTCTCCAGCCAAATGGACTTTGGACTTTTCTCACAGCACTTGAGGGACTTTATCTAGCTGCTGCCTCCCATTTGCAGCCTTCCACCAGGAGAAGGGTCCAGGGCTCAGGGGAGGACTGGGGTGGGCAGCTTGTCCTGCATGACAGGCAGGGGCTCCGGGACAAGGACCTCCTCAGACCACATGGCCATGTGCTCTGAAAAGACAGGACTGGGTTCTGACTTGAAAACTCCTTGTGGGTTTTTGCTGAGTCTGGGAAAGTCCTCTGTTCTCGAGGGGGTAGGTTCAGGGTATGACCCCCGGGTTGTGGAATAAAACCCAAGGCCACGGGCAGGGCCGGCAGCAGAGGCAGAAAGGATCAGGGGCTCGGGCAGGACTGAGCTGCCTCCATACAGCCCCAGGTCACCTCCACTTCTGCTGGCTGTGCAGGCTGCTTCCCATTATGCCTGCCTACCTGCCACCCCACCCTGTGCCCATGGGCCAATGACTGTGGGTGGAAAGAGATGCTTCGGGAAGTTGAGGGCCTCACTGGGGTAGGGTCTGTTTCCCACGGCGGGGCGTGGAGATGACTGGCACATAAGTCTTACTTTTTTTGTCTCAAGTCTCCCGGATTCCTGAGGAGGAAGGTCAGTTTATGATTTCTGATATGAATTTGATTTTTGAATCTGTTCCAGAGGCTGAGTTCATCCTGGGCTGGGGGTGTGGGCTGCAGCTCCTTGGCCACAAAGTAACATGGGCACAGTCCCCTCAATGTGCTACCTTCTCCTCCTCCTCCTTCTCCTCCTCCTCCTCCTCCGGCCGCAAGCCTCTTCACCTAGTTAGTCCCTCCCCAGCTTGGCATCCAAGCTCAAATGCCACTTCTTCAGGGAGACGGTTCAGGGTCCCCCTCATAGGCTTTCAGAACTTTGAGCACCTTTCTACCCTAGTACTTCCCACAGTTACAATTCTATACTCATTTGTCACATTTGTTTTTGAATAGGAAATACATTCACAGGTTTTAAAAATAAACCAATGAATAAACCAAAATGTCTTCTTCCATGGGGTCCCCATCCATCTAGTTTCTTCCAGTCCCAGCCACAGGTAACCAATGTTACTAATTCTTTTCACCATTTCTTTTTGCATAGACAAGCAGAATGCAGAATTTCAGATCCCTTCTTCTAGACCAGCCGTGGGCAAACTACGGCCCGCGGACCGGATCCGGCCTGTTTGAAATGAATAAAACTAAAAAAAAAAAGACCGTACCCTTTTATGTAATGATGTTTACTTTGAATTTATATTAGTTCACACAAACACTCCATCCATGCTTTTGTTCTGGCCCTCCGGTCCAGTTTAAGAACCCATTGTGGCCCTCGAGTCAAAAAGTTTGCCCACCCCTGTTCTAGACACAAATGGTAGCATACTACAAACCCTTTTCTGCACCTTGCTTTGTCAGCCTAGTATGTCATGGCGATGGTTCCATTCATCTAGAGCATCCTTATTCCTTTTTTCACAGCTGCATAGAATTTTATCCCGTGATTGTTCCATAAATTATGCAGCCAGCCCTTATAGGACTCAGATGTTTTCCTATATTTTTGCTCTTTTGATTAAGCTTGTGCATATGGCATTGTATATCTGTGCCATAAAGTGCCTGTTCAAAGGGTATTTGGATTTGTCATTTGTAATTCTGCCCTCCATTCAGTTATACTGATGTATATTCCCACCGTCACTGTAGCCTCACCAACACGGTGGGAGAGAAAAGGTTTGGGTTTTTGCCAGTCTGATGGGTGAAATGTAGATATCAATTTTAGTTTTAATTTGTATTTCCTTTATTATGAGTGAGGTTAAGTATTTTTTATATGTATTTCCTCTTCCATGAACTGCTGTCTTTATCCTTTGCTTATTTTTCTCTTAGATTTTTTTTTATCACTTATCAATTCTAGGACTTTTATGAATTAGGAAGGCTTAGCTCCTATCTGTGATATGAGTTGTATGTATGTTTCCCAGTTTGTCACTGGTCTTGGGGTTTTGCTATGGTGGTATTCCTGCACAGGAGTTTTTCATTGAATGCATTGGTCTTTTCCTTACTCATTCTGCACTGTGAGTCATTGAAAGCCCATATCCACTCCTCACTTACAAGGGAATTTTCTTCTGTTTTCTTTTAGTGTTTTATAGGTTTATTTTTACATTTAAACCATTGATTCTTTTGGAATTTATTCTGGCATTTGATAGGAGGTGTGAATCCAACTTTTTTATTATTTTCTAGAGAGCTATCCAGTTGTGCCGACACCAGTAACTGACGAGTGCTCTCTCCTCCTGCTTTAGATGCTTATTTCAGGAGTCGAAATCCCCAGTTGAGTCTGCGACTGTTCAGGTGCCAGAGCCTTAATGCAGAGGCTTCAGAACAGGTTTCAGTGCCTGGCAGGGCTGCTCTCCCCCTCGCTGTTCTTTTTCAGTTTCCTGGGCTTAGACGCATGTATTGTTTTCACATGAACTTTAGGATAAGCTTGCAGTGTTAAGAATGAAACTTATTTTTATTGATTGATTGATT